TGGTAAGGTTTACATATATTCATTATCATTGCATTATTGGTTTGACACGATTACTGTTTTTTTTGTGTGGGAGGTGTATTGTAGCGCTAAACCCAATACATACATTTTTCGACATTTATATCCTAGTTGAAGAGAGATAAAGGTGGTGTATTTGCAGTTTTGCAGTTTCACAAAGAGAGCACCAACTGCTTGTTTCCATAGAGTGAGAACTATTGTATTAGAATGTTGTCACATAGCAACAGTATGTATGACATACTGTATGTATGACATATGACATACAGTATATGACATACAGTATGTATGACATATGACATACAGTATGACATCAGTACATTTACCAGAAAACAAAACTATAAGTAATATAAATCACTGCAGCATTTTAATTCCTGTAAGAACGTCACTCTTATTTTTGTATGCACTTTTTTGGGAACCTGAAGTGGAAATTACCGCCTGAGCTACTGCCGGTGCCTACACATCAGGTTCATTTTCCTCAGCATCCTGTTGGAGGGCACAGGACACTTTCTCAGTCCAGGAAGCTGCGTCAACATTTGAATGCCAAACTGATTCAGGATGTAGTGGTCCAGGGATGCTGAAGAGGGAAACTCTATGGCATAAAGGGATATGTAGGTGCCTGCTGCAGGTCAAATAAGTATTAGTACTCTTCTATCACCAGATCAACTATAAATCAGTCCTAATATTTAGAGAATATAAATTAAAAGCACACTGAGTGATCACCGGTCACATGGACTTATTAAAATATACCAGCGCAAAGAGCCAGGGTCATATGCTAAAGATTTCAGTTTACAGATGTCACATTCATTAAATAATTTACAGAGGTCAGTTTAGTCAAACATAAACTGAAAGCTTTTGTATATTATACTTGCTCTTTGCACTGCTAAACTTGTTTGTTGCAGCATACAAGCATTGCACATATAGCTTTTTAAATAAACAAATACCCTTACCAATCCAACAAGGCCATTTTTTTTTTCTATACAGCGCTGCGCTACTTTAACTGACAGTTGTGCAGTAATGCAACACTGTACACAAATGAAATATATATATAATTTTTTTTCACACAAATAGAGCTTTCTTTTGGTGATATTTGATCATCACTGGGTTTTCTATAAATGACAAAAGACCAAAATAATAAAAAATAAAAAAATTTTTTTTTTACTTTTTGCTATAAAACATCCAATAAAAAAATAAAAAAATAAATTTCTTCATAAATTTAGGCCAAAATGTAACATGCTACATGTCTTTGGTAAAAAAAAAATCCCAATAAAAGTGTATATTAATTGGTTTGTGTGAAAATTTTAGCATCTACAATACTGCAATTTTTTTTTTTTCTCTTAATACTAGTAATGACAGCGAGCAGCGACTCATAGGTGGGAGATAGTATAGCAGGCATTCTGACACTAACTGATACTGGGTGGGAACTGACTAACTGCCACTGACATCTCCAGTGACACAAATACAGTGATCAGTCCTAATAACAATCACGGTCACTGTACTAATGACACTGGGCAGGAAGGGGTTAACATCTGGGCGATCAAAGGGTTAACTGTGTGCCAGGGACTGTTATTGTGTGTGCACTGTGTGGTGTTTTACTAGGGGATGTGCTGGTTTTTATTTGCTGCTTTGAATGGAGATAAAAAGTGGCACATGCCCGCAAACAGGAGAGATATCTGTGTTGTTTACATATAACATGAATTGCTTGCCAGGACCCAGTGATTGATATGCAGGGAAGCCAATGGCAGCACAGGTAGGCATGTGCGTGCACCCCCTACCTGGAAAAGATTCAAGTATATACACGTGATTTTGCACAGAGCGGCCACCCTGTAGCAGTAAAGCTACATGGTCTGGTCAGAAAATGGTTATTTTTACCTGATGATGAAGCCAGTAACACACTTTTTGTTTTGGGGTGGCTACACTTTTTAAGCAGTTAAAGCAACAGTTTTTTTTTCCCTTTTGGGATAAAGGTTTTGCATACAAGATTAAAATCTGACCATTGTAAGCACCACTGTCAGTGTTAAATATCATGGTTTAGCCCTGTATAACTGACCCTTTCTGAACTGCTTGATGTGTTAAAGGAAGCTGACACTTACTGGCAGGATCAACAGATGAAACTAAAGGGCAATTTTTTCTTTATTTTCACCTGTGATCAAGTCAGTACGACACTTCTTGTCTTCAGAAGTCTCCACTCTGGAGATGGAAGAGCAACAGACCCCTTGGTCAGCCACTTTGTAGGTCTGGGGAGAAAGTAATCTTACATGTACTAGCAGATTTAGATGGACTTGACTAACAAATTAAAGCCATACAAGCCAGCAAGAGTTTTTTCATCTTTTGCGATAAAACTTTTTTTACAATGCATTAAAGCTGAGCATTGTAAGCACCCCTGTTTATGTTAAATGGTTTGTCTTAACCCTATGACACTTTTACTGGAAAGCTTGGTCTGTTAAAGGAAGTTGAAAAATAACAGACTTACTGGCAGATCACTAGGTCATTATAAAGGGAAAAAGCCTAAAAAAGAAACAAATACTGCCATCACATCTAAGAACTGGCAAGGTGCAATAGAAGATTGTAGTGGTATTGGTGCACTTGTGACAAGCTGCAATATATACATACATTTTAAAAAAATGTCTGAAGTTGAGCTTCCACCACGTGCACAGTTGAACACATTTTAAAAAAATACTACCTGCAGGAGATTCTAAAAAGGTATTTTTAATATTAAAATTAGCATTTTTTAGAATTACAGTTAGGGTCATATGTATAGCAGGTAATCTGACATTTACAAAACATTCACTGCAGGTGAATCTTCCTGCTGCAGGTTTTAAATGAAAGCGATTGATTCACCAACATTGAATGTTTGATGAATCATTCACTATTTGTAAATATACCCCTCAAAGTAGATGCTGGTAAGAAATCACCCATTTGTTCACTGGTAATATCTGTGTGTTCCCAGGTTATCTACTACCGCTATTATAAAGGGACTCCTACTACATATTAGCTTATTTTATTCTATGCAGAGTAAGAATACCCTTGTAACTGGAGGGGTAAGATTCCAAGGTAGGATAGATCAAATCCAGGAACTATGGTGGGGAGATCTAAATGATCAATTTAACTGTAAAAAGTGGGCCGCACACCATTTTGATGAAAAATCTTTTGGTTGCCTTCAAAAGATCAGCTGTTACCAAATTCAATTCTTTCACAGAACACACATCCTCAGCACTACTCAGCAGTACTAAGTTATGGGAGCCATACAGAGATGCGAACAGATTCCTCTCTCACATGCTACCAGGTGGTAGTAAAAACAAGTAGTTGGTCCATGTTTTTACCACCAACCTACAAGCGAACATGGTGCCCCTCACAGCAGTACATACTGCAGAAGCCATGATGCTTTGCAATTTTAGAGTTTGACCGGTGGATTCCCCTGTCTAACTCTCATATGTAATTGTAGCAGAGAGACACCCAGGTGGGACTTCAGTTCTAAAGTCATATCACATATCAGAGTAATTGTTAGAAGACTAGAAATGGCTGTCTGATTTTTTATTTCCTTTCCAATGGAAAAAACATTTCAGTAAAATGCAAAGCACCAGACATTCCTAGAGACCTCTGAGAAGAGCTTGTGAGGTAGTCATGTGAAAGGAAAATAACATACCTTTGGCATGTAGGACAGCAAATGTTTCAGAGAGGAAAAACTTGCTAAAGTTATGTACCCTCTTAGCTGATCAGTTAAGAGGAAGCCAAAATTTATAGCACCACAACAAAGAGGTAGAATCTAAATCAAATTTGCATAAGTGCTTCACATATGGTAAACCTATATGTAAAATATGTGGATTTAACAGTAGCCAGATACCACGGAATGCATTGCTGCTACAGCAACAAAAAAAATCTAACAATACAAAACAGCCTTACCTGCCTTCGTACTATACCCTCTAGAAGAAAAGGTAATATATTGTTTCAGTTCTTGACATCACTAAGCAATATAATTCTGTAAGTAAAGAATTTTCCACTCACTAAATTTCAGGCTCCTCTCTGTGCAGTAAATCGGAGCAAAGGGGCCAAACTCTCATAAGTGCCTCATGAGCAATAGCCATACTTTTTAAAGCTATTTATTGTTATATGGTAACTCTCATTGGATATCCTTATATTTGATGATCTGCAATATCAGTTTTGTCTTGCAAATGAAATGTGAAATTGCTAGAGTTATGTGTGAGAGGGATGGGACTGTTCTTTTTACTACACAAAAAAGAACATGAGTCTGCTGTATCTGAAAGTGGAAAAATCTTTATAGTGCCCAAACATATTTTTCTAAACATTTTTTCATGGGAGAGACAGACATTTTTATTTATGTATTTTTTATATCTATTCATTAGGGCAGACTCTATTGTCAACTGATTAATCCCACAAATTGATGGTTGCACTATAGACAAAAAGGGCCTACGACCTGTGTGTGTCTGCAAGTGCAATATATAATTTTTCAAAGCAGTAAAAAGCACATGCTGCAGGAGATCTATCCTTACTTTCACAGCAGAGTATCAATACCATCACAAGCATTTAAATATGTATACTAAAAGGATGTGATTGGTCATATTTCCCATCCACAAAATTAAATTTTCATAAGGCTCGAACAAATGACTGATCATTGTAGTTATATCATTAGCATTACTGCCAAATATATTGGTGGCTGAGCAATCCTGTATAAAACCATTGGAAGCATTAATATGACGAATGCTGGAACACAAGTTGCAAAGGCCCCACTAAGTGCTTACCTACTGAATGAATAACAATTTGACCGGAGAGCTTATTCCTTAAAAAAACCTACTAGCCATTGGGTTCTCTCAGAGCCTAGAATGCAGTGGAGTTGCATGGGTACTGGAGGAAACTGTTCACAGCACTGAAAAAATGTATGGCTCACAACAAGTGTCATCTTGCAGGAGGTTGAATTGGTCCAAATGCCTCTCTGAATTTTGATAATTAGGCTCAGTCTTATAAAAGACTTATTTATCCTTCTCACTTGGCAAGTCACGGGTTGACTTCAGAAAATCACTTCGAAGGAGTCGGTAGAAAAGTACAATGTTCATCACAGTCATAATGGCCATTCCAACACTACCAATAGTATAGATGAGAAGAGGAATGTTCTCTCGGTTTAGTACCAACCACCTTGTCATCCATGCCAAAGTGCTTATTCTGAAGATTACATATGTGCCCAGGTTCAGTAAGCTGTTAAGCCGATAGAGAGTGGTTTTCAGCTTGTTGGCCATGAGAAGAATCTGTCTCAGATGTAGGAAAATGGAGTTAATTTCCACCAGCAAGGCCACCACAGCAAAAACCTACATACCGATGTAGGAGTAAGGATATCCCAAAACAAATGATAACCTAGAAGAGAAAAAATAAGATCTAATGAGCAAAACCATAATGAAAAAACACAACCATTAAACTGCACGTTTTTACGAACAAGGTAAAAAAAAAAATATATATATATATCCCCTTTTCTCAGTAATCCCCCAAGATCCCTTATTCAATATATTACCCTTCAGGAAGCAGAAGTGTTAGCTGTGGCTGCTATTAGGGCTCATGTACACTGCAGCTGCAGTTGAGTTTACAGTTGTTTTTTTGAACGCAGCAAAATTGCGCTCAGGAGTAGATTTTACCAGCATTTCAAATGGCAAACACTTATAAATACGGTTAACCGCGTTTACAAGCGTTTGTGTTTAGAAGCGTTTCTTGACTGGTCCATATCCAGGGCACAATTCACTAAGCGGTATCCTACCGCACCCGAGTAAGCAGTAGGATACCGCATAGCATTTAAAAAAAAAAAAACAAAAACAATTTGAATCCACTAAAAAAGACTATTAAAATACTGCATGATTTAAGGGGTGAAGGAGGGGAGGGGAGGATTCCCTGGGTTTAAGAAGAGAAGAAGAGAAGAGGCCCAGGTGTCCCAGGAGAGCAAAATAAAATAAGAAAAAAAAAAAAAATAGCAAACCTGTCGGGTTCACAAATTATAAAGGCGCAGTGTGTATAACCTCATCTTGAGAATTATAGAAGAAAATAGATATACAGAGGATATGAAGAATAAAGGTCCTAAGGGAGCAGGGCTCAAAGGGTCCCAAACAGGCATGATAAAGAAATTTACATCACATGGAAACATTACGCCAGAAAAGGCCCAAGGCGCAAATGCAAAAGGGGAAATGGACACTAGCTCAGGAAATAGTCCTAGATTATCACTGGGTATGAATAGCAGCTGTAGCCAACAAATTGCGGATGGCATGGAAAAAATTGACGGTGAACTACAAGTTCCAAATAAGAAGGAGATGATACAAATGTTTCAAAGTTTGGAGAAAACTATAAAAACACGAAATGACAGCTATTCGAAATGATTTAGGGCACCTGCTAACGAGAGTGGAAGAAACAGAGGAGAAAGTTAAAACCCAGGCCCAAACCATAGATAATCTAAGGAAAAAAATAACCCACTTGGAGAATACTCAGAAAAAAACTGCTCTATTGGATGGAAGTTCAAAAGAATAAAGAAAGAAGGTGTAACCTTAGAGTACGAGGAACTCCAGAGTCTGCAAAAGGGGAAATACTGTATGACCTAGTCATTAAAATTTTAAACTCCATAAGAGACAGACCTGAAACAGACAGGATCAAACTAGATGGAGTGTTCAGAATAGGAAAGTTCAAACAAGCTACTGAGAAGGCAAGACCAAGAGATACATTTGTGCAGTTCCAAAAATTGGGGGTCAAAGATGAGATATGGAAGAAGATGAAAGGAAAATCATTAATTAAGTATGGAGACTTAACTATCCAAATTTATGCGGACTTAACACCAGAGACCCTAAGGAGAAGGAGATTCCTGAGACCCCTGTTGGAGCAAATGAGAAAACAGAATGTGCAGTATAGATGGGGTACCTTTGCATCTCTAATTGGCTGGAAAAATGGTGTTACAGCTTATTTGAGATTCCAGGAGGAAATGAGAGATTTTTGTGATAGACTGGACTTGCAAAGAATGGAGATAGCTGGGTGGGAAGAAGAAGAAAAAGGAGATACAGAAGATATAAGAAAAGAGGACTGGCAGCGGGTCGGGGGGAGAGGGAGGGGGGACCCGGGGGTGGAGAGAGAAAGGAGGGAGAATTAAGTTAAAAATTGTGTTTTTTTTTTTTTGTTCTCTCTCTTTCTCTCGCACCCCCCATTGCCCCACCTCTGTTGAAGTGGAAACCCCTCTGGAGCTCCGGTTGAGGGGGGAAGTGAAGACAACAGAGAGAGGGGATCTGGGGAGGTCGGAGGAGGGGCGAGCCATACATGGGCAGAGCTTACGCCCAAAGTTTCAAATCAATGGTGGAAATAGATCCACAAATGATTTGTAGGCAGTTTTTAAGCCTAAAAATGGGTAGAGGAAAAATAAGAGAGGGTGAGGGGGGGGGGGTGGGGAGGGGGGGGGGGGAGAGATGGGGGTTGGGTGGGAGGGAGGAGGGGGAGGGGGGGGCTGCTGGGCTAATACTCTGCACGATAGTAGGACTTAATAGGAGGGGACGAAGTAGGGGAAAGATAGACAGAATTAAGAAGTATGGAAGAAATACAGTTTATAACGTATAATGTGAATGGGTTGAATTGTCCTGGGAAAAGATTTAAGTTGTTTAAAGAGTTACATCACAGGGCAACGTCAGTGGTGTTTTTACAGGAGACACATTTCGAGATAGAGTCAAACGTGAAATTAAAATCTAGATACTACCCAACATGGTATTATGCTGACTCTCCAATTAAAAGAGCAAAAGGGGTGGCAATAGGATTGGCAAAGAATATGAGATTTGAGCTGGAGGATAGAAAGACCGACCCGGAGGGGAGATTCCTGTTTTTGAAAGGTAAACTACAGGGAATCAAGTGTACATTGGCCAATATATATTGCCCCAACAAGAAGCCGGAGATCTATTTGAAGGGTCTGTTGAAAAAATTGATAGATTTTAAAAAAGGACGTCTGATAGTAGCAGGAGATTTAAATTTCTGTATGGACCCACAAAAGGATGTAACCTCTTCTGTGCAGAGAGAGGGGGGGTAGGTCTCTGAGAGCTTTGAAAAAAGCGATATACGATTACCAACTTGTGGATACTTGGAGAATAATGCATATGAAAGACAGAGACTATACCTTCTTCTCTAATGTACATGAGACATACTCGAGACTGGATTATATCTTAATAGACCATCAACTCATTGAACTGTTGATCAAAATAGAAATAGAGACAAGAACATTCTCGGATCATGCCCCTGTAGTAATGAAAATGGGATGAGGAAGACGGTGGACGGGAGGTTTAGGATGGAGGTTGAATGAGGCCCTTCTCCAGGATGAGGAAATAGCTCAGAAGATAGGGGAAAAGATCAAGGTATATTTTAAGGAGAATGAGACAGAGGAAGTATCGACAGCTACAGTATGGGAGAGCCATAAGGTATATATAAGAGGAATCCTGATTGCGATGGGAGTAAGGAAGAAAAAAGAAAGAAGAGAGAGAGGGTTAGTGGGCTTCTAAAAGAAATCCTGGTCTTGGAGCAGATACATAAGAAGAAAATAACAAAAGAAACAAGACAGAAGTTAATGGATAAAAAAGACGAGCTAGAGAAGTTGATGGAAGAGGAGAGGAGAAGAGTATATAACAAAGTCTTAAATGAGAGATATAGATGGGGAGATAGACCAGGAAAATACTTAATGAGAGCTCTGAATAAAAAAAAAAAAATAGGAATTATATAGAAAAGATAAAAAGCCCTAAGAGGGAGTTGGTCCGCTCAAACAAAGAGATTATTAAAGTGTTCATGGAGTATTATAGAAAGCTGTATAATATTAGCCCCCAAGGTGCTCCAAAAGAAATGGGAGAGGATATCAAGGAAAAAAGGATGATATACTTAAAAAACACGGGATTACCAAAGCTAAGTGAGGCACAATTGAACTCCTTGGATGTAGAAATTTCCCAGGAAGAAATAAAAGCAGCATTAAAAAGTACAGGGGGTGGAAAAAGCACAGGAACGGATGGTTACACAGTTAAGTACTATAAAAAATATAGTGAATTATTGTTACCTAAGCTGAAGAAGTATATGAACGCTCTGGGAGGTGGGATGGAGATGAGGAGAGAATCTCTTCAGGCCCATGTGGTACTTATTCACAAGGAGGGAAAAGATCCTTCTCAGTGCTCCAGCTATAGACCAATTTCATTATTGAACACTGATACCAAGTTGTACGCAAATGTTTTAGCAAATAGGTTGAAAGATCTAATGCCTGAATGGATTCATGGAGACCAGGTGGGTTTTGTCCCAGGGAGAGAGGGTAGAGATAACGGGCTGAGAACTCTGTTGCTTATCCAGAAAAGTAGAAAAGGGAAAGCCCCGGTGGTGCTCTTATCAATTGATGCAGAGAAAGCGTTTGATAGAGTGGACTGGGGCTTTATGAAGGACAACTTAGAAGTGCTGGGGATTGGAGAGAGAATGCGTGAGTGGATAGGCAAATTATATAGGGAGGCCACCGCAATCATTACGGTAAATGGGGAGAGGTCGGAAACCATTGGGATGTCTAATGGAACAAGACAGGGCTGCCCATTGTCCCCTTTGTTGTATGTTTTGTCATTGGAACCCCTGTTGTCATTGGAACCCCTGTTATAAGGAATAGTGGTGCGGTAAAGGGAATTCAGATAGAAAATATAGAACATAAAGTAGCGGCCTTTGCGGACGACCTATTGTTTTATGTGGACAACCCCCGAATAACATTACCAAATATAATGAAGATCCTGAAGGAGTATGGTGAACTATCAAACCTAAAAATTAATCCAACAAAAACAGAGATTCTGAATATTAATATATCAAAGAGCGAAAAAGAAAAGCTACAAAGGGAATTCCCCTTTATATGGAGAGAAAGAGATATAAAATACCTAGGAATAAAACTTACTGTCTCATATAAGCATTTATATAGATTAAACTATATTTCTTTGATAAATGAGATCAAGGAAGAATTAAAAACATTAGAAGGAGGAAATCCATCATGGATAGGACATATAAACCTAGTTAAAATGGTAATTATACCTAAAATACTGTATAGATTTCAAATGGTTCCAATCAAACCATTTAAAATAATAAAAAAAAATGTTAACAAGATATATATGGAGGAATAAAAAACCAAGAATATCATACGAAACATTAAGTAGGACTAAAGAGAAAGGGGGAATGGGACTGCCTGATGTCAGGAGATACTATAAAGAAGTAATCTTAGCAAGAATTTATGATT